AGGAGACACCACGTTAGCAGGGCGGGGCCGGCCTCTCGTCTGAGGCGGCTGGGGGACAGCCGAGGCGGCGTTCTGCCCCCCACGGCGAGCTTCTCCGCCGCCTCCCGAGGACCGGACGCCCGGGCTTCCTCCCTGCGGAGGGCCTGGACGGCCACGCTTCCTCAAAGCCCTGCGCGGGCATTACCTGGACGCCCGTCACACATGCAGCATCCCAGGCTCCACCCAGACCTACAGAGCCCGATTCTGCGTTTGAACAAGATCCCCAGGAGATTCTTTGGCCTGCTAATGTTTGAGAAGTCCTGCAGAGATACTCAGGGAGTCAGGTTAAGTCACCTGCAATCACGTGCCGGTGGCACAGGAAAAGGAGGGCAAGCAAGGTGCTTTCTGAAAAGTCTGCACACTTGTTCATTACTGAAAACCACACTTCCTCTTTCTCCTCATTATCTTTCTCCTTAGCACTTACCATCATCTGATTCACAGCATGTCTTAATTATTTACTTGTATTTACTTCCGTCTCTCTTACCCTTACTAGGATATAAATTACGCGAGGCTGGACATTTTTTGGTCTGTTTTGTTCACAGCTCTGTACTATATAAAAAAGGAAACAGAGACGATCTATTTGGAACTTGTGTCTTAGCAAAGACCTTTCAAATTAATGCAATTTAAGGGATGGGGAGATAACCAAAGGTCCGCCCTGAGTACTCCTCCCCTCCTCCACCTCCCTCAAGCTGGGTCTAGAGTCAAGGGATACGGGGTTCCGATGCCAGAGAGCAGGTGCCCTCGTGGTAGAGGTGGTGGTGAGGGAAACCAAGCCCCCTGTCATGGTTTGGGGATAACAGTAACACAACCCCGGAAGACTAAGAGAAGAAGCCTGATTGGCAAGCCTGGACTAGAACCTTCGGCAAACCACATAACTACCATGGCCTTTGTTTTCCTGTATGCAGCATAAGAGCATAGCATTAGAAGAAGGTTAGGTCTTTTTACAGCTGTAAAACCCTATTAGTTCTGTGCTCCCTGGCCCTACGTGTTTTTGTGGAAGGGGCTTGGGGGTTGCAGGGAAAGTAACTTTTTAATATTAACTTTCTTGTGCCCCAGAGAACTACTCATGAGATCTACTTCCTCACATAACTAGAAACAGGAAAGCGTAGATTTGTTCTGCATAGATTCAGGAAATAAGTAACAGTCCACATCCTGAAGGAGGTATTTGCTGAGGCCATGAAGTATCATCTCACTTTAGAGGCTCAGTCCCGGTTTGGTGAGACTGTGAATATTTGGGCTCAAAGCCACAGACTGCCCTGGAACTATAGCCCCAGTGCCTGCCTCCAGTAAAGAGGCCAGAGCCAGCCTCTTTACTGGATTAGAGCAGGGCTCTGTCTGTCTGGGCAGCAGAGGGCTGACACGAAGCGACAGCCACATCCATCTCATTCCGTATATTCATGCATGTATATATTTATACACCACATGTATAAATATCTATATATTTGCACACAACCACATTATGTTGTATTGTGGGTGTACATGTCGGTATGGGGTAGTGTTCAGATAACTACATGGGTATGTGTGGAGAGAGAGGAGAGAGATTCAGTGATAACTTGATGTGACAGATGTCTCTTTATAAAATATGACCAGTCGCTTTGCCTCTGACGATAGCCCCTGGCCACTGCCCACCCCCGTGTTTGTAAGGCGAGCCCTAGCTGCAGAACATGGAGAAGAAGTAATACCTGTGATACCTGAGGTGTCTTTAGAGTCTGATTCGGAGTCGGATGTCTCTGAGGATTCGGAAGTCTTCTCTGGCAGATGCGGGAGCTGCGCGATGTCCATGGGCGTGTCCTTGTACTCAGGATTACTGTGAGGGGAGGGAGGCATCCATCAGGAGTGTAGACAGACGTTCTGCATGGTTTGCTTGGGACCATCTTCCCCCCACTTCCTTGTCCCAAACTTCTGGAGTTTAGAAAGTTTCAAAGACTAAACATGTAATCACATCTCAGCTCTTCATGGGACTTTTTATGGAAGCTTGGAGTGCATGTGCCAGGGTGCAGCTGCACCCTGTGACAACGTATGAATACCCAAATGCTAGATGAAAGCCACCGAAAAGCTTTTAAATAACCAGGTGCCACTGGGGGCCAGGGAACGGTACATTCCTTGACATTCCTCTTAGAGTAACACCTGGGGGAAGGGAGGATGAGAAGTACTCTCAGCACTTTATTCCCCTACCTCCTGGCGTGCCCTGTCTTCTTTTGGGCTTCTAATGAGCCCATTGCCTCAGTGCCCTTGTCTTGGCCCCTTGGTGTGGCTTCTCAGCTGTTCAAGATGGCTCCAGAGCCATTGGGGATGGGGGATTGAGCAGACCCCTTGGTGGCTAACGATCTGACAGATGAGCAGGTGCACCTTGGGATGTGTGGAGTGTGGCTACTGCACTGTCAACACACCCATTACAATCACATTTTCATCGGCTCATGTGGTGTACACCTGTGGCTTGTTAGCTAGAAATCTGATTGCAGTGGTGTGAAAGAGGCCCTAACAGAACGGATCTAACCCCACTTACACAAATGTACTTAGTTTCTGTTCTATTTTTAATTGGGAAACAAGTCTCTTCTAGAAAAGAGAGCACGTTGGGTCAGTTTGAACCGTTTTCTGGAAATGCCACTCCAAGCCCAGCCTGATGCAGGAGCGGTGTGGGCTCCTGTAATCTGAAGGCACAAGGAAATCCTCCTGCTTCAACATGGGAAGTGCCTCTTCTCTCTTTCCATGATAGCTAGTCAAGCAGAGACTTACAATTGATGATTACTGACTCATTTGCTAATCTCTAGTGAAACTCCTATATTAAAGCATCACTGTTTCAGTAACTACTCTAAAACTGCAAATGTCCCTGGGAGGGGTAATTCACGAGAATGGATTATCAGGCATTTACTCCTTAGTGTGAATTAGCTTCAGCAGCAGAGCTTTCTCCAGATAATCAGATGGGAATAATGGCTGGGAGGTGGGCTTAGCACTTACGTTGTCTCTGAATACTCTGAGAGTCTGTAATTCTGTTAAGTGCTGTGAGAGAATGGGAAGAAGACCGGAGGAACAGTAATTTCAGAGCAGGGACGTACAAGCCTGGATTGGGGCCCAGGTGCAAGGGATTCTGGGAAGGAGGAAGTAGCATGGAAGAGTTGCTCAGGGCAGAACCAAGAGACAAGAATGTGGGAAAGAAACCCAAACTTCTGTAGTTGTGGTTTTGCCAAGACCACATCACTTTCTTGCTAGACGTCTAGCTTATAGAAGTGAAGCTGATGGATGGCTGTCTTGGTGGAGTTTCCTCTGCTACAGCTCATCTACATGAGTCTTCTGTGGCCCAGATGCCATGGGTGGGTGTAGGGGGCATCACAGATCACTCATCCTTCCATTTGCAGCCTTTTGTCATTGACCTCAGGGTGGGTAAAATTAGGTCTTCCATGCCCAAGATCAAGACTCTTGAGCCTGAAGACTGATCTTTCATACCCAAACTGCTTTCTTCCTATCCATATGGAATTTGCTGGAATAGAATCATGAAGCTCATGAGTTTGATCCTAGGCTATCAACATTGCACAGCTTGACTTTTTCTTAGCTCTTCTTACTCCTTCCATATGAGGACAGAGGAGGAAGTCACGAAGCTGATGAGGCGGTAAGAAAGACCCAGATAGGAAGAAACCAGAGAGATACTTCAGGGCCCTGTGTTACATTAACGTGGGAGACAGACACTTTCTAGCCTATCGTGTCTGCTGTTACCAATGTTTAATTCTTAATATTAATGGGTCTTCTTGGCACAATGCCATTTTTGCCCAAATAATGTCAAAGCCGCAATACCATACTCTGTCTGCTGTTTGGCGTGAGAGTTTTTATAACTACCTGCATTACACAGAGTCACTACAGTATTCCATGAAACTATGTACAAGGATTCCTTCATGTTGGAACTCATGTTGAGCATATCGCAGAACATAGGGGAGCCGAATGAAAATCAGGCCTTGGAGAAAGGCACATTAAATACACATACTCTTACCTTTAGAGAGAATTAATGTAGAGCCGAAGAGGTCAAAAAAAGGAAATAGAAAGTAGATAAATGAAGACTCTTTTAAGTGGTGCACATTAAGGCCCTCTCTAGAGCAATAATCATTAGTGTCTGATTGATATGCTGTTGGTAGCAAGCACATTCATGCCTTCAAGTCATCACCAAAGTATGTGAACACACTCAGAAGGGCCAGTGTGCTGATGAGCCATGGTTTGTTAGCTTCTCAGCTCCACTTGGCTGTCTCAAAGAAAAATGGGGATCAGTTACTCCCCGTCCAAATGATCAGCCAAAGGGCACCAACTTCCATTCATTAACCCTATTGGAAGTCTTCTCACTCAGACCACGTGTGGGCTCTGCGAGGTAGCTTTAGGCCAAGGGAAGCCAAAGCCTGGCATGACAATGGTGAGGAGGGAACCAGGCAAAGCACAGTGGTAGCTGCATGCAGGGATCAGTGAAGAACCTCTCAGAAAGCTTGCCCCCAAACTCAGATCACCAGTCTGTGGATATCGGTTATTTTTCTGCTGGTTTGACTTCAAAGGCAGACTGAAGATGGGGAAGGAGAGAAATAGTGTATCACACTAGAATTTAGGAAGCAGTTGAGCTTGGAACTCAGTCGTGGGTATACATTTCAGGACACTTTTTTTTTTTTTTTTTTGAGTTGGGGTCTCACTCTGTCGCCCAGACTGGAGTACAGTGTGGCCACTCCCTGGCCACCGCAGCCTCGACCTGCTGGGCTCCGGCGATCCTTTTGCCTCAGCCTTCCGAGTAGCTGGAACTACAGGCACGTGCTACCACACCCGGCTAATTTTTTGACTGATTGTAGAGATGAGGTCTTGCCAAGTTGCCCAGGCGGGTCTCGAGCCCGCAGGCTCAGGCAATCCACTCACCTCAGCCTCCCAAAGTACAGGATTACAGGCTGAGCCACCAAGCCCAGCTGAGGACACATTTTTAAGAGTAGTAAAACTTGCCGGAGGTCATAGAGCCAATAGCAAAAGAAGACTGCCTTCATTTTCATGCTGATATTGTCTTGATTTTGGCAAGCAACTCACTTTGTTTACCAAAACTTTAATGCCTAGGGAATCAAACCCTATGTCATATGCTCAGGGTATCATAAGGAACGAAATAAAAGAGGGGATATAAGATACCCTGCTACTTTTCTCCCGTCTCCTTTCACTTAATGTCACAAGATGGGAGGGTGAGTGTGTGTGTGATGAGGATCAGGGCGTGCTTTGTGAATGCTTCAGTTGTAAACCCAAGTCTGCATTCTTTTTCTGGCCTGAGCATTTGTGGTACAACGAAAGCAACTTCTGCAGAGATGCCCCAATGTTGGCAGACCAAGAATTATTGAAAAATTTGCAAATCTTCCCCACAAGTCCCTTCCAACACATTTTGATCTTCTTACATTTCTTCGAATCTTGTGGAAAGAACAGCAGAATTTCCGTATAATTCCACACCAGGTACTGTCAAAAGATAATACTCACAACATGTCAGCTATTAACCACGGGGCTGCTTATGTTGTAACTGAGGCTGGAATACAAAAGAAGCAGAAAATATACCTAAGAAGATAATTCACCCAGATGATATTCTTTTCATTTGCATTCTTGGCATTAATGGCTATCGTGGCACTAGACTGTATCCAAATATATCCTCCATTCTTCTGCATCCAACGATAGTACTTCGTCACACACTGACCCTTGTTCAGCACTGGGGGGAGAAACAAAACAGAAGGCATCGTATTAGGGTTGGGGCCACATGGTTTTCATCTTTGCAAAACCTCAAGCCTAGAAATAGGAGGTCCTGCGCCAAGCCGGGGGTGGCCCTCTGTGTGCTTAATGTAGAATGCCATTAGTAGGACAAGTGAAATCAACAATACAGTGGAGCGGCACCCCTACAGCCTGGGTTATTGGCATCTGTAGCAAGACTTTATTCCGTTTTGGGCAGCCATGGTGTGAAAGGAAGAATGAAAGGACTGCAAATCTTTTTTGGCTCACAGAACACCTAATGCGGTGTGGACATTGTCAATGGGTTTGACATCAGATGGTAAGAAAGGCAAATTTGTATGTGATCTTTTCATAGCTTTGAGGTAGACCTCTTTGAGATTCTGGATATTTGAATGGTTCCAAAGATGCTTCACCCCTCTGTCTTTGATCATTTCTCCTCAGTGTGAGCAATATCAACCAGCGTCCTTATATATTTGTTCCTTTTGATCTTGTCTAACAGAATTTATAGTCCTTCGATGAACTAAATTTACATTGGTCAGTTGGGGGAGATTCTGGTGAGACTCTGCTGAATGCTGGAACAAAATAAATTCCACAGTCGAGCCAGAGAGAAACACTGGCCTAAGGGAGTCACAGAATTGACTTGGCTAGAGCCAGACAGAGTGACAGCTCCACGCAGACTCTGAAATATGGCCCAAAATGAAGGAACAAGTAAAAACAATCAGTAATGTGAAACGGTGCCATTAAATACCCACTGAAAGAGCTTTAAAATGCAGATGTTAAAAATGATACTTTAACCAAAATCTTGCCAAGCTGGAGTTGATTTGATTTGTATCTGGGTACTCCTGAGCTAGTAAAAGGGGGAAAGTGCAGTAAATCATCCCCTGAAATAAAGTGCTACGGATGGGAATGGTTTAAAAGGATGCCGGAAATGTGCAAAACCCGCTGTTATTACTTGGATACGGATCGCAGGAACTCGGCGCCCCCCTGAAGCTCACTGGCGGGCTGGCCACTAGAGGGCAGTGTGCACTCGTCTACGTCGCCCACTTTTGGCATGTCCTTGTCTCCGTCTGCTAAAATGAAAAACCTCTAACTGCTGTAATAAATTTGGCTAAATTAGCTGCTAAATGGTTATCTCAAGTAATATGTATTTGCATTAATCATCTTGCTCTAAACCAGAACAAGCCAGAGTCCTAAAGACGTAGTAAATTCATATTGTCCATTTAATTACGGCTAATAAGTGCTTCATATACAATAGTTTCATGAAGTACATTTTGATTTTTTGGGGCGGGGGGTGGATGGGTAAAGGGAAGTCACTTTGGAAAAGAGCCGTGTTTAAGGCTGTTGAAGCTCTCCTTGTCATGTCCTGAGCCTCTCTTCCTGGCTCTGACAGTACTCAAAAATCAAACCTCCAAATCTGATATCAATAAACATATCAACTTTGAAGATTTTCTTCCATTCTTCCCTTTTTTTTCTCTCAGTACACTGACTGGATAGTTGTAAAATTTAGTAATCATGTCTTAGCTGTTACTTGAAAAAGCCTCACACTGATGGGTGTTTCAGATCCTGGCAAGTTCCATTCTGAAGTTATTCAACAGTTTAAAGTATTTTTAAGGCCTGGAACTGTCGTTTACTCTTGGTGGTGAGGCTCCACAGGTAGCATTGTGCTTCCCTTTTGTAGGCAATTGTCAGTTCTGCCATTCTGCATGCATGGCTTCCCAGGCTACAAAACTGCGTGGTGAAGCTGAAAGCAGTAAAATACTAACTCCGCCATCCAGCTCTTCTGTCAAACCATTGTTGCATGCAGCGTGATGTGCTTTTATTCAAATCCTCTCAACCTGGCTAACTATTAATAGAGGAACGATGGGTTATGTAACTCTGTCCACTACTTTCGGAAACAAACTTCCAGCACCCCAGTCTGTGGCTGGCGGTATAATTCTGGCTGCTTTGTGTCTGGAATAAGGAATGGTTCCAAGTGGCTCCAGTATTTTCAACAAAGGCAAAGAGATGAAGAATGCCCCTTTCAGAATCACATGAAGATGGTAGGCCAGATCAGCACAGCCTGGCTGGGAATTCTGGACTGGAATGTGACCTAAAGCAGGCAAAACTAAAAAAAAAAAAAAAAAAAAAAAAAAA